AAACATGGCTCATTTATACCTTGATAGGACTAAAACATATGATTTTACAATGGGAGCTCATTTCGCCAAATAGGCTAACACAGATGGTTTTGTTAATGAACTTATTATAAAATTGCTAACGAGATCAATGATATGTGATAAAGATAATTTCATTATGGAAGTATGCGAGGGCGCATCGATTACATTGATAAGACCGGCCATATACGCGAAGAAGTGGCTCTTTGAGCATTGCATCATAAGACAATCAAAGCACATAGGGATCATTGGTGGCTATTTCACAAAAAAAGTTGTGCAAAGAAAAAACTTTGAATCAAATATGAACATGACCCGAACCTACGTGGCTCAGTACCTACCAGTAACTACGTCACACGTGTCAACACAAGAGGCCATGAATTGCAAGGCGATCCTGTCGGAAGAGGGTTGAACCCTTTTATATATATTTTTAATATAAATCATTAAATTGTAAATGTGGAAGCATAGTATCCAATTTGGGGCTTATGGAGTGGGCCCGATCCCATAAAGCCATGATTGATGCGGAGACCGACGTTTCACCGACTACGAGTGGGACACATAAGCAAAAAGATAGGAGCACAGCCCAATATATTGATCCAGCCCGGCCCAATATATTAAATCTCTATATATTTTATCAAATGATTCTGCCAACTCTCCCAAGCGGGCCTGCGATCTTGCTTACGTAATAACAGTAATTATTTCTCATAACATAATAATATCATGTTTGAAAAGATAAAACCAAATGAATTAGGTCCGACCATTGTCATAAGACTACTTCAGAGACCGAGTCCAGTTTTGCACCTCATGATTGAGCCATAGAGAGGAAATTCGTAATAGGGGGATATATGATGACATTAAATCACACATATATTAACTAAAAAATTACACAAATGCCATTAATAAGTCTCCTTTTGAAGGGGCTCATGTATAAAACATTTCAAAATAAAAAGATCAAATTTCACTGCTCTATTCAATAGTTGGCAAAAACCCACAGCTGCACTTTTCTTTTCTTTACGATCTATTATCAGCCTTAACATATAATAAACTTTCCTAAAGCCAAGGTAAGCATCACTGCATCAGCACACCTACTTTGTGAAAGCTGCTCCAAAGCCTCTCGCAAGACTGAGTGGTGGATAAGACAGTACAGCATTATTCGGTACAAAGAGCATTTGGTGTACAGATAGCATTAGGAGAACACCTTTGATGACCAGTCCAAATCCAATTTCCATGTCCAAAATGAAAACTAACGACACAATCTCACAACCAAATATCTTGATTACAATCTGAAAAATTTTCTCATTCTTCATGATTGAATTTCAGCTGTAGATGCTATTGTAAGCAGGGTATAGCATATCATTGTTTCTATATAAAGGATTTAAAGATGAGAATACACCTAAATACTTCAATTTCAAATGTAGCCAAGTAAACTAATAAGATGATATGATTTTTATTTTCCTTTTTTATACAAGAGAGGACGTATATATACATCTTCCAGAGATAAATTTTCTAAGCATTTTGATTTTGAATTTAGAGCATTTTCTAAATTGTTTTTTTTCTCTTGATTATCATCCCTTAAAAAATCATAACATCAACATTTACAATAAAGATAGATTTTATCATAAAAAAAGCTTCATTACTTAGTCTCATTAGTTTGGTTTGTATACCTGAGTTATCAAATATTGGTGTTAAATTCATACAAGTCATATCTTTTAATCTCTATGTTAAAAAATAATTTTTAATCATATCATTCTATAAGTCCTACATAATTTTCGATCAAGAATATTAAAATATGAATAATATTCAATTTTATAACAACAACAACAACAACAAAAACAAGCGTTTGTCCCACTAAGTGGGGTCAGTTGCACGAATCCTTTTTCTTTATTTTGTCCTATTGATCGTCATATTTTCATTTAGTTCCAATAAAATAAGATCATTTTTTTAATAAAACATGTCCGGTCTTCATAGGTATACCTTTATCTTATTTAACATAAATTGAATCTAAAGCATCTATTCTCTTAAACGAATCATCAGGTGGTAGATGTTACCTTAACATCTAACACGATTATCATCCCTTAAAAATGTCTCTTTCGATTTTGTCAAAATAGAATAATCATCATAATAATTACACTGAAGAGTATTCTATTAATTAAAAAGCTAGCTATTAGAAAATGTTTTAAAAAGTGGGTTGGACTGGTCGGTTCTCTGGTTCAACCGTGAACCGATCATTCAACCGACTTGATCTAAGCTCAAAACTGTTTCTGGTAGCTATTAGAAAATGTTTTAAAAAGTGGGTTGGACCGGTCGGTTCTCTGGTTCAACCGTGAATCGATCATTCAACCGACTTGATCTAAGCTCAGAACTGTTTCTGCAAGGAATCAGGATTAAACCCAATCAAACCAGGGTTGAACCGAATGACCAGTCTAGTTAATGAACAGACCGGATAAAATATTATCCAATTTTACGTTCCGTTTGGTCAAGTCTAGTCAATGAACAAACCATGGTTAGAATTTTGTGAGCCAGAGAAGTATAATTCTTTTTTTTTTTTTCTTTGGCTTTTGTATTTAGATCCCCCTAATCTGCATTGAATATATTTGTTGAGTTCTTATGTGTTGGCCTTTTAGTTTTTGCTTCATACTTTTGCAGCCACCTATTCTATGGTTGACTGCATTTTGGCAAAGTTCTAACACCACAAAGATTGCTCCATATTATTTCGGAGGTATGCAGTGCACCAGGGAAATATGATTGAAAATTAGAAGATGGATATAGAGCAAACAAGTTGGATTCATTCAAGTTACCGATATGTTTGTTATTCACTGATTGCTTGATCTCATCTCATATTAATACACTTTTTAAGCTTAAATTCAACATATTTACTTTTTTAGAGAAATTTTTGGGTATACATGTAACTTTTTAGTTGATATTTTGTTTGAGTTGTATACCAAGTGAATGAGACCCTATGGGTAAGTAATGTATTTTTTGTGTTTTTTAGTGGGACCTATTCATTTATCTTTTGTACTTTTACTTGTGATTAATAAAATTGCCTACGGGCTTCTCAATTGAGAAAAGTGCATGTTCATGGTTTCAGAAGAAATTGCTTTAGGACATAATTTCTGCTTCTGAAATATCAAATATATGGTTATCACAGTTTTGTTTTAAACAAATTTACTAAAAAAAGACAAAATGTTCATTTTACCAGAAATAACTGACTCACAATTATTTTTACACAGCATTAACAAACAGACAATCAACTTCCTCGAAGCAGCTTCTTGGGGCAGCGCGGTTGCAGCTGAGAAGCTGCAGCTACCCCAAACATACCCTTAGTTTTTTGATTTTTAGATTGATTAAAATAAGATATTTAAAATAAAAATAGAGAAAAATTATGTCTTAATTTTTTATTTAAAATATTGTTCAAAATATTCAAAAATGTAGTCTTTCATTAAAATTTTATTTATTGAATCAATTAAAATGACATTAATATATCATTATTTTATAATTTAAATTATATTAAAATAATTTAAATAATTATTATGTTATCTGATTCAACTGCCGAATTAATCTCGATTGAAGCATTGAATATTGCACATTTTCTCCTTCCAGTTTGATGTTCGGTCCAATTTTCACAACCTTGATTAGAGTAACCTCAATCATATTTTGATATTTGATTGTAAGGAAGTGTCCCAACCCACTCTAGAAGGTACTAATTTATTTGCCACTTCACTTTATTGGCAAAGTGCCAAGACAAGAAGATTGTTGGGCAATGAATTGTTTTAAAGAATAATGATAATATGTGATTAAATAAGCAAAAGTATTGTCAAAGACGAATATTTTGCTGTTAAAGTTTAATTGATTTTTTATTAAAATGATGAATATAAAAAGTAGCATTAACATCATTTTTTTATTGAATTAAATGTCCATATCATTCAAGCGCAATCATCAATAAATATATCAAAATTAATAACTCCAGAGATATGGGGAATTTAGAAGATCCCATATATTAGAATGCATCAACACAAAGAAAGCAAGAGGATCTAGGCACTTTCAGAACACAAAATATGAAGATTCTTTTTAAAAAGTGTTGTAATATATAATGATGTGTCAAGATAATGTTGGTGTTGTGAGAGATAGGCCACGACACTTGTGTGCATATATGACCTTTGGTAAGTTTATGAATAGATAAAAAATTAAACCAAATGATGTGAAATATATAAATACTTTACGGAGGGTTAAGTTGAGAGAAATTGAGAGATCTCCATGTCCTGTAATAATTTCAATAAAGTTGTCAGTATTTGTCTTTGATGCGCCTTTTCTTTTTATGATAGTTGCACTAGAGCCTGCATTTTGAAAGAAGATTTCTGTCATTCTCAATGACATATTTCCAAGGTTAGGTCATTGATCATCATTGCCCTTTCTTTCTTCTTCAATGCATGGAGAATGTTTTATTCAGAGAATGAACATGTTCTTTGCTTATGATGTTAAATACAATTTGGTCAAATCCATTGTTGAGTCCCATAAAAAATTCAATGATTCTACCCCTCCACAAATTAGAGTGTTACCTCATCCATATTGCATGTCATCTAGATATTTTGCAACTAGTCTAATTCTAATAAGTAAATTTTTATGACATTAAAGTTTTCAATGATATAAATATTATCTTCGCCGATCGTGATAAGCTTTGTCTTAATTTCATAGATGACTGCATCATTTCTCACTTTTGAGTAAAATTTATTTAATTGCATCCCAAACATTTTTTGTTATGAAGAAGAACAAAAAAACCCATTGAACTCTAGTAGCATGATGTTTCACAACCATGTCATGATTGTTGAATCAATTTCTTCCTAAAACAAGATTGTCTTTAAGACCATGTCATGATTGTTGAATCAATTTCTTCCTAAAGCAAGATTGTCTTTCTCTAGAGGCAAATCCATAATATTGGATCTTCTCTTTTTCTTTCAGACAGATATTCACAAAAATTGGATTTTTTAATTTTTTTTTTTTTTTTTTTTTTTCGTTCAAAACAGAAGATGTTTGAAATCCTTCAAGTTTTTGTTTGATTTGGCTTTCACCAGAAATCATGATCCACTTCCTTGAGGGAAAATCAAGAAACCACAACCTCGAATAGAAAGGGAATTCCGCAGAAGGAAAAAATTTGAAAATGAAAACCCTAACCTTAAAGAAAAATTAAGGTTAAAAAGAAAACCCTAACCTTAATCCAATGCTATTTAAAAGATAATAGAGAAAACTCTCAAATAATTTTCTTTTTTTACAAAAGCATAGATATATATACATTTTCAAGAGGCATTACAAAATAGGAATAAATTAAAAGAGGATAGAATAAGGAGTCAACAATCATTTAGAAAGGCAAAGAATTGAAATATGAGAGCCACAACTAAAGGGCTCCATTCGTGTGTCTTAATTTCTTTGATAGATTTGATGAGTAAGTGAGCCCTATGGTCCCATCTTAGAGAGAGAGAAAGGCAACAAAAATCATTAATGAATGTCTTAAAACTCGTAAAGAATCTTTATAGGAATCATACTCATATCATAGGTACATGCAGCATACTCATATCATAGATACAGGCAGCGTGCGAGCCAGGGTTCTTTTTTAGAGGTTTTGACCTTAATGCTAGTAACTAACAAAATAGCACATGCTAACTCTATAGAAAGCAATAGTTCCATATAAGGTAGTAACAAACCACAAATTGTCTTTAATCTATTATTCATATCTTTTGGTGTAATGTTTGGAGAACCATATTTTGAATCTCATAGGTAACCCAACGACATGCAGCCTACTTGTTACTAGCTCCGTTACCTCCTAAATTTAAAATGTGATGTTTCATATTTCCTAATTTAAATATCCAACTCTGCAAAGAGCAACACATTTTCTTGTTTTTGGGCACCCTCAATGTGAATAAGTAGCTACAACTCATAACTATCCACTTTTCTTAATCGTAACTAAAACATCTTTTAACGGCATCAGAGCTATGGAATTGTTTGAATTACTTCAGAACAAAACAATTACCAACCAATTGAACTTTAACATACATAACTTCACCATCTAAAGGCCTGAAATTATATGTATCAAGCTTAACAAAACTACTATCAACACTATAAAAATTTGAGTGATGAAACTCTTGCATCTGACTATCATCTATTATTTATCTTGTCAAAACTCCTTTTCAATCTCTCGCACATGTAATAAATGAATATTTGAGATCAACCACTTTCACCAGACTATCTGACCAAGTCTACTCTCTAGCAGTTAATTGTTAGAAGCCTGTACTCTTTGCGGGATGTATTATGAATGTTATAATATAACTCATAACAATAATTCCGGGGTTGCTTTCACCTTCATAATTTTCTATTTTTATTTTTAGCATTAATACAGAAACCATCAAATCACATAGGTCACAATGGAAGTTCATCAAAATAAATCCAAATTCTTATAGAACAATAATGTCATATATGTATGCAAAATAGTATTAGTTATAACTCTCAATTCCAACATATTTTTGAAATAACATTCAACAAACTCTAAACAAAATGAAAGTGCTAAATTCTGAACAAAATCAAAGTGCTTTGAAAAAATTTAAGCCAAAAAAAAAAAAAAAAAAAAACTGAGTGATGAGTGAGCTTTACATAGGACTCAACCTCTAAACAAAAATTAACGTGACAAGGCTCGATGATTTCCAAAAAAAAAAGACCACATTGATAAGAATTTTCATACCCAAAAAAAAAAAATCAATATTGATGAGCGAATTCATACCAAAATAGCATCTACTTCCTAACAAACAAACAAAAAGAACTTTGTGAGTGTCCTATGAAGGCTATAGGAGTTTGGAGTTTCTCGACGCTATTAAAAAAAAAAGGAAGAGAATCAAGTAGGGGATAAACAAAGCTTGAACGAGTGCTGAAGCAGCTAAAATATTGGAGAAAGAAGAGAGGCTAGGTGTGGAGTTCGGCATGATAGATATTGATGTGGTGCCATAATGGAGTTCAGGGTACAAGTGTATAAGTGCAATGAAGTAGGAGAAGAGATTCAAGAAAGAGGAGAGTTCTATGCTGTTAAGAAACAGGAAGAGGACGGCTTATCGCACGAGATGTTTTTTCATGACAATGAAGGCAATCATTTAAGAGATATTGGAGTTATTGTACTGATAGGAGTGTTACATATAATTAGTTATAAAGTTTGTGTGTTAGAAAAATAAACAGTAATTTTAGGTGTTAGATACGTAAAAAAAAAAATTCTTTGGTATGCATGTAAATCCCCTTTATTATAAAATTAAAAGGTAGAGTAAAAAATAAATTAAAAAAGTTAACGCACCTCCTTACAGAAGCCCCACCCCACTCACAAGCTTAGTTGATTCAGCTCTCACATGCCACATGAACTTGTTGCTCACTCCCACGTGCCCCTTCCCCGCAACATATTTTTGCTTGGCTCGCATCATAAGAGCTTGTCTCGCCAACATGTTTTCCCGATCAACATCACTCATGCACTGCATGACATGACCATGTCATGCTTGCTCTGTTTGTTGGCTTACATAGCTCACAATAGGCATGATCTCCTCACTTTATCCACATTCAGTGCCGTCACAACAACTACAATCCATGATGTTCTCTGACTATCTCAAAACATGTGTGCGCCATGTGCGCCTTGCAAGTGCGCTCACTCTGGCTATCTTATTCTCCGTGCTTCCTATAAACCAAACTTCTTCGATGTTTTTGAAGTCTACTTGGGCATGGGCACTCTTTCTTACAAACCTAGTGCTTTCACATCTTGGTTCTCTCTCGCTCTCTTATTCTCTATTCTTCCCATACACTGTTGTGTGGAGTCGAAGAGGAATGTTGGCGCATATGCGTCGGCCATGCGCGAGCGCCCAATTGACGCTTCTCGATCCAGAAAAGCTGGCACATAGGATCCAACTATGGGTTCATAGGCACCCACTTGATGTGGACGACAGATGTGGAAAATTGTTCAATGACAAAGCAGCTCAATAACTTCAACGCTATGACGAGTCAGTTGTATATGTGAGGATCAAGTTCGATGATGGGGTTGGAGCATTGGTGATACTATCTTCATTGCTGAAAAGTTGTGATGATTTGGTAATGACGGTAAGTAATTCTTTAGGAGCTTTGAAGTTGAACTTCGATGATATCGTAAATCAGATGCTAAATGAAGAAATTCACAGAAAAGCAGCAAAAGTTGAATCTTTTGGTTCTGCGTTGAATGTTGATAACAGAGAAAGGCATATGGGCAAGAATACATGCAGACGTAGATTCAAATCAAAGAAAGGAAAGTTCAAGTCAAGCAGAGAAGAATGTAGAAAATACGGTAAGAAATGACATTTCAAGAGAACTGCAAAGCTCTAAGGAAATTTGGTAGAGGACAAGAAAGTAGTCCAACTAATGTCTCCACAGGTGAAATCCAAAATGACTTCTTGGGGTTATCCATAGTCAAAACTGAATCCTGAATAATGGATTCAGACGACTGTTTTCATGCTTGCCTCAATAAAGAGGTATTTAAAAACTACACTCATATTGATCTAGGGATGATACAGTAGGAAAGGGTGATGTCGATATCAAGTTGTCGAATAAAACAACTTGGAAGCTTACTGAAGTCAGACATGTTTCTAGTCTAAAGAGAAATCTTCTCTTTGCGAGTCAACTGACAAAATCAGGACGTGACTATTTTTATAGGTGATTTGTGGAAGGTGACCAGGAGAGCATTAATGATAGCTTAGGGCAATTTTGAAGGCACTATTTATCTGATCAATGAAATGACTGATTTCCTTGATGTGGCTGGAACCAGGGCGAATATAGATCTGTGACACCGTATGCTTGGCCATATGAGCGAGAAAGTTATGAAGTCCCTACCTTCAAAGAATAATATTCATAGCCTGAAATCAATTGATCTGAATTTCTGTGAAGACTGTATTCATGACAAACAGAAGAAAGTTTTCTTTTTTCCAAGGGCGAGTCAATGGTGGAATCAAAGAAATTGGAGCTAATGCATACTAACGTATAAGGTCTTACTCCAGTTCAATCTATTGAAGATTCTCACAATTTTGTGGTAATCATTGATGATCACATGAGAAATATATGAGTTTATTTCTTAAAACAAAAATTTGATGTATTTGAAATTTTTAAAAGGTGGAAGGCTATGGTAGAAACATGCTTGAAGTTGAAGTGACTCAGACCAGATAATGAGGTGAATACTAGGAATTTCTATCCTACGGAGGTAGTGAGGCATGAGTTCACAACCCCAAGGACACCGCAACACAATGGTGTAGCATTAACAGAACAATCAGGGAACGTGCTAGGAGAATGAGTATGCATACAAGCTCGCCAAAACAATTTTAGTCTATCTTAACCTTTGGAGGAAGACTTACCTGAACAAGTCTAGAGTGATAAAAAGGTTTGTCCATCTCATTTAAGAGTGTTTGAGTGTTTTGCATTTGTGCATGATAATACAAGGTCCAGCAGCAAGCTTGACTCCAAATCTTTCAAGTGCACCTTCAATGAATATGGCTCGAATGAATTTGGCTACAAGTTCTAGGATTACCAGAATCAAAAATTCATCAAGAGCAGAAACTCCACATTCAACGAAATGAAGATGTACACAGACAGAGTCAGAACTCAGAATATTTCAACTACGTCTAAAAAATTCAGATATGTGGAAATAGAAAATACTGGTGATCAGGAAAATGGAGAAAAAAAAAGTGCTCAACCAGAAGGAGCGTTGGAAGTTCTTCAGTTGCCTACTGCAGAAATTAGAAGATCCATCAGAGCGAAACAACCCATACAAAGGTATTCTTCTTCTTTACACTGTTTGTTACTAACTGATAGTAGTGAACCAGAGTGCTTTAAGGAGGCCACACAAGTTGAAGATTCAAGAGAGTGAGCTCCCAATGGATGAAGAAATGCAATCTTTGAAGTTAAATCAGACTTGAGATTTTACGATACTACAAAATGCAAAAAAACATTGCACTATAAGTGGGTCTACAGGCTTAAAGAGGAGTCGGATGGTAACAAACGCTACAAAAGGCTTGTTGTGAAGGGTTTCCAACAGAAATAATGAGTGGATTACATAGAGATCTTCTCCAAAGTAGTGAAAATGACTACTATCAGAATTGTGCTGAGTTTGGTAGAAGTGGACAATCTACATCTAGAACAAAAAGGATGTAAAAGCAGTTTTCTTACATGAAGATCTGGATAAGGAGTTATGCATGGTGCAACCACAAGGTTACAAGTTTCCAGGCAAGGAAGGTTTGGTCTGCAAATTAAAGAACGTATATGGCTTGAAGCAGGCCCCGAGAGAGTGGTACAAAAAGTTTGACAGGCTCATGTCAGATAATGGGCACATGAAGCGCCAGACAGACCATTGTACATTCATCAAACACTTCAATAACTATTATATTTTACTTTTTTTATATGTGGATGACATGCTAATTGCAGGGGTAGATATGGAGAAAATTAGAGACTTGAAAAAATAATCATAAATGGAGTTTGAGTTGAAGGATTTAGGTTCAACCAAAAATATCCTCGGGATGAGAATCAACAGGGACAGAAGTGCAGGAACACTAAGATTATCTCATGCAGGGTATGTTGAGAAGATCCCACAGAGGTTCAACATGAGTGAGGCAAAACCAATTTGCACTCATTTAGGTAGTCATTTCAAACTATCTAAGGAGCTATCACCTAACTCTAAAGCAGAGCAAGCACAGATGGAGAGAAATCCGTATACTTCAGCAGTTGGAAGTTTGATATATGGATGATTTGTACCAGGTCAGCTATTGCATATGTAATGAGAATGATCAGTAGGTATATGGGCAATCCAAGTAGACATCATTGAGAGACAAGTAAAGTGAATTCTCAGATATTTGAGAGGAATACTCAACATGACACTGTTACGAAAATGGAGGGATCAATCTACAGTGATTCATGGATTCAGATCTGACAGGCGATGTGGATAGTAGGAGAAGTACAACGGGATATCTTCATATTGGGTAACACAATGGTGAGTTGGGTTTCTAGGTTGCAGAAAATTATTGCACTTTCAACTTTAGATGCCAAATACATTGCTATTACTGAAACTAACAAGGAGATGAATTGACTACTAAATTTCATGCCAAAATTGGGCAAAAAGCAGGGGATTGAAAAGTTTTACATTGATGACATGAGTGCTTTTCATCTTGCCAAGAATGCTACATTTCATGCCACGACAAAACACATCCAGCTGAGATATCATTCCATTTGATCTCTTATAGAAGATTAGCAGTTATTTATGAGAAAGATATATATAGCTGAAAATCCTGTGGATATGTTGACAAAGGTGGTGTCTGTTGAGAAACTGAAGTTGTGTTTGGCTTCAGTTAGGTTTCATGAAGGTTGAGATCAGAGGTGAGCAACACCACGATACGTGATCATGGTACGTGACTATGAAAACAATTCATATGAAGATGCAAATATAGAGGACTAGAGTTTGGTGTTATCGTCTCCAAGTGGGAGATTATTGGGTTGTGTGGAGTCGAAGCAACCCAAGCAGTAGGAATGTCGACGCATAGGCGCTAGCCATGGGCGCTCAAGCACCTAAATGGCGCTTCTCAATCCAGAAAAGCCGACGCATAGGCTTCCACTTGATGTGAGTGACAGAGGAGGGGGCGCATACGGGCACATAGACACCCAATTCTGGGTGCCAATACATAGAGGCTGGCGCATAATTGATGCCTGTGCGGCAGGCACAATCTCAAGCGAGATTTCAATTTTTAGTCCCGATTTCGAGAGGTTGCAAGGTATCTTCCCTCGTTATTCTTCGAAGAGCATCCCGATGAATGTGAGGAGTGTCGAAGAGGTGAATTTTGGTGATTCGACATTGGATCAGAGATGGAAGATTGCTGAGCGAGTTTTGTACGTTTTCTTTGTGTGGAGAGAATTTGTGTGAGTTCTTTGTAATACTTTTTGAATTTTATAGTAGAAATTTATCGTGGTGTGGCTCTATGATTTTTTTCCAGTTCTCGAGTTTTTTCATGTAAATTCTCGCGCGCTTCTCTAGTTGCTTTGATTGTACTTCTGTTTAATTTTTTATTTCACTTTTTTATTGAATTGGTGTGATCCCATTATTTCGCAATTTGATTTAGTTTCTAATTAATCCTCCCCGATAAAGTTGAGAATTGTTCGTTAGAGATTTCCTATCATCATTAGCCTCTACTTAGGGGCTCTTTCTCACAAGTAGACGCTCTTTCTCACAAACACAGTGCTCTCATATCGTGGTTCTCAAACGCAAGCTATCACTAGCACATAATGGTCCTCAATTAACTTCACCATTCATGAGCAACTATAATTGTAATTACCTTTCTAATGACAGCTCCTTGGAATGCAAATGCAGAAATAAAAACAAATTAAAATCTTTATGTTTTGTAGATCTCTTAACCAGGCAAACAATGAAGACCCCACATTCCTTTGATCATTGATCCAACCAAGATGAAGATCATCTTCTATGTTCCAGTAACCTTTTAATCTGATAAGAGTTCACCTTCCTCTATTGACCTCTATGTTTAGGGAGAGCTTTCTTCTATCAACAGTGATAATTTTATTTTACTTGGTTGCAGTCATAATGTGCGATTGAGCAATGAATAGCTTAGGGGATTGGATAACCTAGTGTGACACAACCTTTGGCCTATTGTCAAAGTTTATTGATCATCATTACCGACGTTGCTAAAGCTCGCTACTTAAAAAAAAGAAAAAAAGAGAGAGAGGGAGAGAGAGAGAGAGTAGCGAAAGCACCTAAGAAACACTTCTGCTAGATATGATGTTTCAAAAATGATCACTCCATCAAAAATGGAAAATGGGATATTAAGCGAGAAAAGGAAAATAAATTCTTATATATAGTTGATGGTTACAAACCAATAATTGTATTCAGAACACTTGTTGTTTAAGCACACATCCATTCTTTATATCTCCTCTCTCTCTTACCATTTTTGAGCATCATAGTTCCAGTTCATACAAATAATTGTATTCAGAACACATAGTTCCAGTTCACACTTGTTGTTTAAGCACACATTTAAATCTCCTCTCTCTCTTACCATTTTTGAGCATCATAGTTCCAGTTCTTATATATAGTTGATGGTTACCAACCAATAATTGTATTCAGAACACTTGCTGTTTAAGCACACATCCATTCTTTAAATCTCCTCTCTCTCTTACCATTTGAGCATCATAGTTCCAGTTCACACTGAAAAGTTGATATTAATGCAGCCCACACACAATTAATAGAATAAGCTAGATAGTTGCCAATGCCAAGCTCAGGCGTCAATGGAAGAGTTAATTACCAAAGGATTTAATATGGCAAGAAATTCTTATACCTGGGTGATCTAAATTGTTATGCTAAGAAAAACAAGAGAAATCCAGCTGCTGATAAAACAGGGAAGCAACGGATTGATTAAAAATTTTGAAGAAGTATTGTCATAAGCCTAATGTTCTGAGAAAGGGAATACTTCATATCGGATAACCTAGGCTCTACAGGCTCAGCTTCTGATTACTACAATTATACATAGAAAAAAAAATCATTCAAGGTTAATGGGAAATTATCAAGAGGTTTAATGAATAATTTGATACATTGTCGAACTTATGATTGAACCTTTTGGGAACTTCAATGTTCAAAAATGGCCTGAAGTGTTCGATGAGGATAAAACGACGTGCACACTTTAACGGGAATTTATCAAGAGGTTGAATAAGTAATTTAATATATTGTTGAACTTATGATTGACCCTTTTGGGAACTTTCATGTTCAAAAGTGGCTAGAAGTATTCAATGAGGAACAAATGAAGTGAACACAATGTATTTACTAGAAAGGTAGGTAATGATCATTTTAAAAAAGAAAGTTCATATAAAGCAAAATAAAAAAAACCTGTACTTGCAGACAATCTCAAATTCAGGGTAACAACATTGTATTGGATTGTCCTTAAGCCTGTAATAAAGAGAGCTCCAGCAAGCATTTAGATCAAAGCGAGTTATTAATTTGAATGCTCCAATAAAAATTAAAAAAGACTATAAAGAACGTTTTAACCAAATTAATTGAGCCAACACAAAGCTACCAATTCCATCAAACTAGGAAAAAAAATATACACGTAGGGCAGCCTTGCCTAAAAAATGAAGTTATAAGTCACTTCTGGGACGACTCTAATATTTAAGACATGAGCATCATTTCCATGCATGATGAAAGATACCCCAACCTCAAGGTAACTTTAATAAGATCCAATTTTAAAATCAAATTTTGATACTCTTAATGGATTTAAGTCTCCAACTCAATAACCCAGGCCGTCTTTTGATGTATGTAAGCTCCAACTCAATTTCAGGTCACAATAAAAACAATACTCCCTTCACAATTAAATACATGTCTTCCAATAGATGCAAGCCCTAAGCTATCTTATAAGCTTCCAAATAGGCCTCAATAATCTTTAGACTCCTGATTATGTATTATGAATTGGACCTTAAAGTGATCCTTAAGAATATGCAACGGGGCTTGGCCAATAATCTAATAAAACCAATCGAGGGTAGTGTTAATAAAAGCATATTTTAGCGTTTCAACATAATCAATCACCACCTCAAATCTATTAACGTAATTGCAAACGTTAACAGCAACAAGATAAATTTTTTTCATAAAAAGCACATAGAATAAGCAAGCGACACTAACATAACACTGAATAAGGACTAATACAGATGTTTAGCCATGACCTGATAAACACAATGGATGAAAAATAGTACTAACATGGATACGAGCTCTAATAGCTCCATAAACTATAACAGAAATGCAGAAAATGACAAGCTTTCACAGAACCAGACCTAATATGGGGACTAGCTCACATACCACCACGAAGGCGGAGAACAAGGTGAAGTGTCGATTCTTTCTGGATGTTATAATCAGCCAGCGTGCGACCATCCTCGAGCTGTTTGCCGGCAAAGATGAGACGCTGCTGATCAGGAGGAATGCCCTCCTTATCCTGAATCTTCGCCTTCACGTTATCAATTGTATCAGAGCTTTCTACCTCAAGGGTGATGGTCTTTCCAGTAAGAGTCTTCACAAAGATTTGCATGCCACCACGAAGACGGAGCACAAGATGAAGAGTAGATTCCTTCTGAATATTGTAGTCCGCAAGGGTGCGACCATCCTCAAGCTGCTTACCAGCAAAAATGAGGCGCTGCTGGTCCGGTGGAATCCCCTCCTTATCTTGGATTTTAGCCTTAACATTGTCAATAGTGTCGGAGCTCTCAACTTCAAGTGTGATTGTCTTTCCAGTGAGGGTTTTCACAAATATCTGCATACCTCCCCTGAGTCGGAGCACAAGAACTAGATACCAAATACATCAGCACTAGCATAGCATGATAAAGACTGGAAGCAAACGGTCACCGGTCACTGACCACCACGGAGACGGAGGACGAGGTGGAGGGTGGATTCCTTCTGAATGTTGTAATCCGCAAGGGTGCGGCCATCCTCAAGCTGCTTCCCAGCAAAGATAAGTCTTTGCTGGTCCGGAGGGATGCCTTCTTTGTCCTGTATCTTAGCCTTGACATTGTCAATGGTGTCAGAGCTCTCAACTTCAAGAGTGATTGTCTTGCCGGTAAGCGTCTTCACGAAAATCTGCATACCTCCCCTGAGTCGCAACACAAGATGGAGGGTAGACTCCTTCTGAATGTTATAATCTGCAAGTGTGCGGCCATCCTCAAGCTGCTTCCCAGCAAAAATTAACCTCTGCTGGTCCGGAGGAATGCCTTCTTTGTCCTGGATCTTGGCCTTGACATTGTCTATGGTGTCGGAGCTCTCAACTTCAAGAGTGATCGTCTTACCAGTTAGGGTCTTCACAAAAATCTGCATACCACCCCTGAGCCGGAGCACAAGGTGGAGAGTGGACTCCTTCTGAATGTTATAGTCTGCGAGTGTGCGGCCGTCCTCAAGCTGCTTCCCAGCAAAGATCAACCTCTGTTGGTCCGGAGGGATGCCTTCCTTGTCTTGGATCTTGGGGAAAGAAAAAAATAAAGAGATAAAAAAATACCTTGAAAAGAAAAGAGAACTTTGCGAGCGATAATAGAAGAGACTAGATTGCTTGAACTTGGCGGAGGAGGGTGAGGGGAGAGCGGTATTTATAGAATGGATGGCCTGCCCTCAGCACCCAACGTGATAAGCGGAGTACGAGCCACGTAAATAAAACCAATACAAATCTGACACGTACCCATTGTTAAGCTTTTCTTTGCCGTGAGGTAACGTAAGCGATGAGTTTCGGGTTTAATTTCCGTTAGTTGACGCCGTCAAGTCACAGCGGCGCTGTTAAGATATTTTATGTAATTAATTTGAGCGTTTCCTTATTCATTTATGCTGTCATTTTTTTTTTCATTTTTTTTATAAAAATTATACAACGAGTACACTGATAATCGTGCATCAATTATTGCGGCATCATTTTCTGGGACTAAAGAGAAAACATTAGATCAGCTCTAATGAAAAAATATTACATCCGTAATTTTAATCTAAAACAAATTCTTAGCAGCATACCGTAAAACTAAATAGAACACGGGAAAGAAAAAAATAAAGAGATAAAAAAATACCTTGAAAAGAAAAGAGAACTTTGCGAGCGATAATAGAAGAGACTAGATTGCTTGAACTTGGCGGAGGAGGGTGAGGGGAGAGCGGTATTTATAGAATGGATGGCCTGCCCTCAGCACCCAACGTGATAAGCGGAGTACGAGCCACGTAAATAAAACCAATACAAATCTGACACGTACCCATTGTTAAGCTTTTCTTTGCCGTGAGGTAACGTAAGCGATGAGTTTCGGGTTTAATTTCCGTTAGTTGACGCCGTCAAGTCACAGCGGCGCTGTTAAGATATTTTATGTAATTAATTTGAGCGTTTCCTTATTCATTTATGCTGTCATTGTTTTTTTCATTTTTTTTATAAAAATTATACAACGAGTACACTGATAATCGTGCATCAATTATTGCGGCATCATTTTTTGGGACTAAAGAGAAAATATTAGATCAGCTCTAACGAAAAAATATTACATTGATAATTTTAATCTAAAATACATGAAAAGATATGCCAAGGAAATATATTTTGAAAATAAAAAGTTAGAAGCTAACCCAAACAAATCCTAATTAATATTCCATAAATCTTATTTTTCTTAAAACTTTTTTGAGTCAACAAAACTTTTAATAAATTAAGTTAGTAAACTTTAAAATAAGTTTGATAAAAATTTAATTAATAATTTATATTCTTTCATTTGAGAATAAATTTACCTTTTTGGTCAAATCTTCATTAGGAATATTATTTTGGGATTTTGGTTAAGGCTCAGTTATCAAATGTTAATTTTTCCTTAATTTTATTTATGTATAATTTAAAATAGAATATGTTTAATGTGTTATAAAAAATTACATTAGATGGAAAAAATTACATTAGATGGTTTAAATATATATTTTTTTAAATCAAAAAACAAAAACATGAAAAGATATGCCAAGGAAATATATTTTGAAAATAAAAAGTTAGAAGCTAACCCAAACAAATCCTAATTAATATTCCATAAATCTTATTTTTCTTAAAACTTTTTTGAGTCAACAAAACTTTTAATAAATTAAGTTAGTAAACTTTAAAATAAGTTTGATAAAAATTTAATTAATAATTTATATTCTTTCATTTGAGAATAAATTTACCTTTTTGGTCAAATCTTCATTAGGAATATTATTTTGGGATTTTGGTTTAGGCTATCAAATGTTAATTTTTCCTTAATTTTATTTATATTGCAATTATATTATTGTTTAATTTTTTTTTCTCAATTTCAGCACATTGTCATTAGAACATTAGACTAATTTGGCATGTTGGCCTTATGATCTCAGCTAGTTGCTTCTCTGAAATTCATTTCTTCATGACATAATTACATCGGTAGTACTAAGTGAGCAATAAAATTACATGGCATATGCCGCTGGCCCCCCTCATTATTATATTAATGAATTATAATCAAGATTTATGTGTGCATGTTCACGCATGTATGTAATCATGCATTTAAAAAAGTTAACTGATAACTAATTTCAAATTAGTAAATCTAAATTGTAGCCTTTTGCACAAACAAGTTAAAACCTAAGGAAGACTAGCAAACAACCCCACATGATAAATCGTTGAGAAAATATAAATAAATAGATAATATTGTAGAACATTAATTTCTTTATTATGATTCTCTAAACAAGGATCAGAACTTCCAAAAACAAATGCAAAAACATATGGAATTTATGCAGCATGAAGGTGCCCACATTCTTAAAGAGAAATTAGTGCTTTACTATATTGCACTTTTTCATTAGATTTTGCGTTAACGATTCATGTTTTATTGTACCATAAACAATTTTATAACACATGAATCACAAGACAATTTAACGATCCATATAAAGAGACTAAAATAATCTCTATTATCTTTCTTAAAGCAAGGGTAAAAATGTAATCATGTATGCTCTGTTTTAGCCGCTATAAATAGAAGACCTGTGACTTTTGGGCTTTTCTCTCTCAACCTCTCATGTATGGTCCCCTCTCTTGTAACCAAAAAATATGCAAGGAAATAGAATGGGTCTAACAGCCCCCAGAACAACTCATTGGTTCGTATGGGGCAAGTCTTTCTCCCTTTTTCTCACTCTCTCTCTTAGTCTTCGCTCGTTAATGTAAAATAAGATTTAATATAAAAGACTTGTCAACCTCCTCTTATACTTCGTATGTGAAAGCGCTATATCGGTGTGCTTCGAGGCCCACTTTTCCTTGCAGTTAGAGCGGCGATTCAACTTTGTCTGCTCCATCTTCCTCTGATACTTGGGAGAGTCTCAGGCCCTCAAAAGTGAGACAAACACATCCTCTCCCATCAACTTAGCCATACGTGTCCGACGTATATCACTGAATTGGTCGCGCAGACGATCGCTCACCTTGTGCTCGAAGTTCCTGTGAATTTTGCTTCATCTTCGAAGGACCAGGACTATCTTTTTTGTAAATTGAATTAGAAATTGTTAGATTCATAAAAATAAATACGTAAATGTAATTAATGTGTTCGGAGTTTAACTTAAACACTCCAAACCACATATCTTGAACTGTCATCGTGATTTCCTTCCAGGATAAGTACGGGTGATCGACTTGCTTCGAAGTATGTCTTTGATGGAATGGATGGCCTGTGTGGGGGAACTAAATCTAAAAATAACATATGATTGACTCTTACCTAAATAAAAGAATCCAAGGCAGTAATATCGGTATTAAATTAAAACTTACGTGTTTCTCACTACCTGAGTTGATGATGGCAGCTCAGGCTATTGGAACTGAATGGTGCATCAGTAGCAACTGATGCCGACAGCGCTTGTGGTGTTGTGGTAGTGGTTGGTGGTTGTGGTGGTGTGATGGCAAGGACTAGTGGTGGTGGTGGTGTTGTGATCACGACTGGTGGAGGTGTTGGTATTGAGGCCACGATTGGTGGCAGTGGTGGTGTTGTGGTCGTGACTCGTGGAGGTGCTAGTGTAGTAGCTGGCACTGGAGGCGGTGCAACTACTGAAGGAGATGGACATTCTTATGTACACAAATAATTCAACAAACTTTCATATCGTGTCAAGAACATAGATTTCAAAACTCTCAATTCTTAATATGAACTACACTTTTTTTTATGCATGGACTTAAAGAACAAAAGTATCATGTATGTAAATATCGAAGTGTAGGCGTGGGATAGATAAAACATAAGATTTGTGTGCTAGGTATGCAAATTTCACATTAAAATATTGATGTTAGATAAAGGAAGACCTAGAAGATGAGTCATAATCATGTAACAATCAAATACATCATCAAAATTATAGAAAACCAAATCAAAATTTAAATTTCTTTAAAATAGAATTTATCAAATTGCAAAATAATTAATAGTTCAAATTAAATAGAAACTTAGATGATGATTGAAATTGACATTACTTACAATTTGACTATAAGAATTTTAGAAATCAATTGTCGTAGCAAAAAAGTAATCCAAGCATGGTCGGCTACGGAGGTCAAGCATTTGTGCAAAAGTGAAATGAGAGATTTTGCATGTCAATTTGATAGAAAGACAATTTCTGACGACTTTCCCACAATCGTTTGACCATCAGTTACTAATTTTTTAATAACTGCAGGGCTCAACCCAAAGTAACAATGCAAGACAATTAGTTATTAATGGCTAAAGAACTTATGAGATAACTTTCTGAAGATTTTAGAAGTTACTATGAATCGATAGTTTTGATCACATATGATTGTTCCGAGACAGTCAATAATGCAGTTCACTTATAAGTTGCGATTTAAGTTGTAGGAAATTCATCAGGAACTAGATTCACTTATAACCATTGATAAGATGTGAGAAATAAACACAAATTTGTCTTCACACATTATATTGTTAGTTTTGATTATTTTTCCAATAGTGCATGATTGCTAGCTGATAAATGAAGGTGATATCATAAAGATGTGGTAGAGCTCTGACTAAAGGTGGCATATGTGATCAAGAGATTGAATGCTGGTGGGGCCATCGAGTCTGACAATCCAAATATTGAGCGCTATTCAAAAGGAGAAGTCTAATTGAATGGTGGAAGATGAATTTCTAATTGAATGGTGGAAGATGAACTTCGAAAAGAGTTGGCTTGGAAGGGCGTTTACCTTACGACAACCAAAAGATGGATTACGACACAGGAAGGAAATGTCATCTGCAATGATGATCATCAGATAGAAACCGTAATTATTACTTGTTTGGCATGTCTTATCTCACTAAACTTACACTACATCATGTTATCATGACAAGAATCCTAGATAAAGTGATCTATAAATAGTATGAAAAAAAAATCAAAGGTGAAAAGAAGCATCTAGCAATACCTAGGAACCTTGGGGATAAGAGCAAAGGTTGAGAACTAAATCTAGATCTAGTTTGCACAGAATAATAGCTTCAGTCGTCCAAGATAGAAGCAAAAAAATTGAGACATGAAGCAGCTCAAACACAAAATG